GTGGTCTTGTAATTCACACTAATCAAATTGCTTCAATAGGATATGAGCAACTTCATGTATCAAAGATTCTCAAATGTTAGATTGTGAATTTTGCTTAGATACTCCAAGCTAGTGAAGTTGTTGTAATTAGTTGTTACTAGTTGGAGTAAGTAAAAGAGCCATGTGATGTATAGATATTTTTGCGGACGCAATTTTATGCCTGTCCATGCTTGATAGAAGTAGAATAACTATGGAAGTTGTAAGAAGCATGGCTTCATATAATCGGATGAATAAAAACAGTGAAGTGTGAATGTCTCTTAGTTCATCATCTCTGTTTTTTATTGTTCATTTCTCTTGTCACAGGAGAGGAGAAAGCAGTTTACATGTTAAAGAAAGTCTTGCATGGCATGAAACAAGCACCAAGGGCTTGGTACAGCAGAATAGATGGTTATCTGCTGGAACAAGGATTCAACAAGATTGAAAATAAACCCACACTTTATGTGAAGGTTTCAAATGGTGACACGCAGCTGTGTCATTGTATGTTGATGATCTGCTCATAACAGGTGGTGATATGATGAGGCTGCAGAATTTCAAGACAAACATTATGGAAGAGTTTGAGATGACTAATCTGGGAAAAAGAAATATTTTCTTGGTATGGAAATTCACCAAGATGATAGACAGATATATTTGTCCCAAAGAAAATATGCACTGGATATTTTAAAGAAGTTGGCACATAAGCAACTGCAAGCCAGCATCAAGTGTCTACTCCATCAGGCTTGAATGAAAAAATTTCAAGAGAAGATGGACAGATTATGGTCAATCCTATGCAGTACAGACACCTAGTTGGGAGTTTGCTCTATTTGACTGCAACAAGACCTGACCTAGGCTTCATTTAGGAATGCTATGCCATACACAGATCATTTTTACACAGCCCCTTATCTAAAAAAGTGAATTTATTATTCTTAATTAATTTTAATTAATATTTTATATATTTGTGGGATAGTAAAAGACAGAAAAACCTACTCGCACAGCACATCAAAGCAGTTGCAAACAGAGCCCTACTGTTTTCAACCAGTCTTCTTTCAACATTCATGAGAGCTCCTAGCATAACTCAATATGGTGCATCAAAAAGGGTGCTCAAGTACTTAAAAGGTTCACTTGCATATGGAATTTGGTTTGAAAAGAACCAAGATAGGAAACTTGAAGGGTATGCAAATGCTAATTGGGTTGGTTGTGTTGATGAATTGAAGAGTACATTTGGTTATTCATTCTCATTTGGATCAGGCACATTTTCTTGAAGTACTAGCAAGAAGGATGTTGTAGCCCACTCCACAGCTGAGGGCTGTATGTGTGCAATTGAATGCAGCAGCAAAACAAGCAAATTGCCTTAGAAACTGCTGACAGATTTAGGGCAAAAAAAATTTAACAAACCAGCTATACCAATAGCTCAAAATCCTATGCAACATGGAAGAACCAAACATATCTATGAAGCAGTGTTGTCAAAAGTGGTCACTTCACCACTTAAAGTGATGAAGCAAAGCGATCAGAGGCACCACTGCTTCACAATTTCTGAAGTGCTCTACTTAAAATTAGCGATCCCAAAGCAATTGAAGGGAAGTGAAGCGATAAAAGCGCTTTGATGTTGAAGCAATTGCTTCTTTAAAAAGACACAAAATGAAAAAAAAAAAGAAAAAAGAACAACCACTAAGAATAAAAAAAAGTATAGAAGCATTAAGGGTTTAAATTGGAATTTTAACTCCAATTAGGGCAAAAGCAGGAAGCTTTGTGCCTGCCAACTACCTCGTCCCCTAATTTTCTTTGTGACTCCATTGTCTTTTGACTTCATCATCTTCCTGAGTCTTGACTTCATCAGTTCATCTGCCATTAATAGGAAAGTCCTTTCTCATTTCATTTTTTTTTTAATTTGCATATTTTCCTTTCCATCTCTTCTTCTTCCCTGACTTCATCCTCTACCCTAACTTTAAGGTATATTCTCTTCTTTTTTTTTTTTCTTTTCTTTTTTTTCTATCAGCAAATTATCTTAATTTAGTTAAGATAAAGTTTCATGTTAATATTAACAGAATTCTCTAGTATTGTCTTAATTCTATGCATTTCCTCTTTATCCCTCCCTTTATCTTTCAGTTCTATTTCTTGTTGGTAAACTTATAGTATTCAGATCTATCCAGTCTAAGGGACCTTGATTAAGAAACTTAATATCATCTGTACAATATAGATTGAAATAGGCAGTTTTTCACTTTATAAGGCTCCTGAATTTTAGTTCCAAAAGAGAATTTAGTTCTACTTGCACTAAGTAGAATTTAATTTAAACCTGCTACTTGCATCCTATTCTATTTTCCACTCTTAATACTCTAAGTTTCTATTCTAATTAGTTATATTCTGTCTAACAATTGATCACTTCAAAGTGTTACTCGCTTCACGTCAAAAAGTGATTGCTTCGCTTCTCGCTTCATTGCTTTGGCATTTTTTAGGCCATCACTTCACCTTGCTTTTTGCCTTTAACAACACTGCTATCAAGACATTAGGAATTTTGCCAACAATGAGGTTCAACTCCAGCACTGCAGCTCAGAAGAGAAAATTACTGATAGATTCACTAAAGCTCTTCTTAAGGGTTAAGTTTGAACTGCTAAGAGAGAAGCTTGGAGCTATGTGATGTAAAGATTTTTGTAAAGACAATTGTATGATTGTCAATGGTTGATAGTAGTAGTTTAACAACTAATTCTGTAAGCACCATGGCTGCCTTCATATAATCAGATGAATGAAAGCACCATCGTTGATAGTAGTGTCACTTAGTTCATGATCTTAGTATTCAGTAATTCTCTCTGTTTTTTACTGTTCATTGCTCTTTAGCTCCTTCGTGCCTATCTCAAATGATAATTGTGATGGTAATTACTTAGTTGTTTACATTGACAAACAAGAAATCATTAGCTACCCCTCATAAGTGTGCAAAAAGTGCTAGGAGATAGTGAGGCATTGGGACATTACCTGGTTCCTACTTCCTAGGTTGCCTAGGCATGTGTTTGCCTTTATTTTTTTTCAAAAAAAAATAAAAATAGAAAGAAAGAAAGAAAGAAAAAAAAAAAGAAGCCAAAAGTAGGGGGAAAAAATCAAAAATTGCACAAATTGGAAAAGTTATGGACTGCTCTGCACATTTCACAGGACTTGAAGGACTAAGCTGCAACATAAGTAAAAACAGTGTACTTTCTGACACCTAAAACACAAAGGTTAAGACCCCATTTTGGACCCTCTACTTTAACAAAAAGCCCTTTTTTAGTTTTTCTACATAAGAAAGCCCCTTCTTAATCCCTAAAATTGATTATCCGACTCCTTCTTAGTCCCTTTTTAGTCTTACTCCAGAATTTCTGTTATCTAATGCACCATGTGTGCAAAAAGATAACAGTCCCTTTTTAGTTTCTCTACTTAAGAAAGCCCCTTTTTAGTCCCTAAAATTGATTATCCGACTCCTTCTTAGTCCCTTTTTAGTCTTACTTCAGAATTTCTGTTATCTAATGCACCATGTGTGCAAAAAGATAACAGAGGAATTAAAAAGGGGCCAAATAATAAACTTTAGAAACTAAAAAGGGGTGTTCTTTAAGTAAAGGGACTAAAAAGGGACTTTTTGCTAAAGTAGAGAGACTAAAATGAGGTTTTAACCAAACACAAATAAAAAACTCTATAAAAGGTTACCCTTAACTGCAGGGCACAAAGGAAATTCTCCTCTAATCTATCTCTAAATCTCAATCATCGTTCTTTACATCATCACAACTTTTCTCTTCCCATGTACTATGCTCATCATTCCCTTTCAAATTCTTCTTTCTACATTAAAATTGAACTCATTTGGAACATGGATTTAGTGTTGCGCTTAGGCAACACCTAGGTGTTGGATCTATGTGTTTCTTTTCTATTTTAGATTTTTCTGTTTTATTTGGCATTTTTTTGCTGAAAAATAAAACCCTCGAGCACCTACCAGTGCTTAGGTGGCCCCTAAGCATTGCCTAGGCACTAGGCTGTGGCCCAACACTTAGGCACTGCCTAGTGCCTTCTGCAACACTTTTGTTCCTTGCATCCCACCACACCAACAGACAGTCATCTTCATCGAACAGACTAGGTGACACCGTCTAGACCTAGTCAAGGCAATGTGATGCCACCTAGGCACTGTCTAGGCATGCTTTGTACAACACTGCCCCTCATCCTCAAGTAGCAGGTAAAGACGCTCCACCTTCATGTGTGGTGGGCGTGGCCCATTGGAATTGTTAACATCCATATGACGGTGGAGGGATTTGAACCTATATTCTAGCATAGTTTGAATGACTCCTTAGCTACTTGAGCCAACCCCAATGGGTTAAATGTTCTTTTTTTTTTTCTTCTTAATTTCCAAACAATCAAAGTGGGTTATGTATGAATTCTTAGAAAAAGAAAAATCTTGAGCAGAGAACTATCCAACCTGAGCAGTTAGAGACCTAATAACTTCCTTTGCAGATTTGCACTTTTCGGCTTCATTTGTTGCTATTGCGGTGACCTCTCTTAATTGCCTAGATGTTTTCTCAAGTTCAGCCTCAAGACGTTGGGATTTGGAAGTAAGATCTTCTACCTGCAAAAACTTTCAGTCAAACACCATTCCAGGCTTACAATAAATTTAGACAAGTGAAGCATCCACTAAATAATTAATCAGATAATCTGACCAATTAATAGTTTCTAACTCTATTTGTGGGCAAACACCTTAGGCTTTGACTATTAGACTTATTAGCCAGCCTCTATTTATTTATCCCTGAAGGTGCTTTAAGACAACTTTCAACTAGATAAACAGATGAATATCAGGCTGTAAACACACACACACACAGATTTTTTCAGTCATTGAAGTATAAAGTGCAACTTGTCTTAGACTGTCTATTCCCCTGGATAAATTCTCTTGAATATGATTTATACTTCAATTTTCCTATTTTCTTCCTTGAAATTGAAAACAAGGAAAAGGATGACAAGTCACACATGTTCGCTGCATGTAATTCTTGCAACTGTAATAGGACACAAGAAAGTAGAAATAACTATAGAGCACTAAGCAGGCTACCTGTGCCCTTAAGCTCATGATTTCTTGGCTTATTGTATCACTCATTTGCTTTGAATCATCACTAGAAACTTCCAAAGGCCGATATGGACTTGACTTTGCTGAAGCAGGAGATGTTCCACCTGAAGTTATTCTGGAACCAGCAATGGATGCTGGTGAAACCTTTTTAGAATCTCCAACCAGAGAAGTTGATACCTGAGATGAAAAATAGTTCCCCAGCCGAAGGTTTCCAGTCTGAGCAGGGAATAAATGGTGATTGTGTGATTCCAGTGTCAATTCATGCTTGGGATTCCGGCTTTCAACCTGATTATTTGAGTCAAAAGAAGATAATCTGGAGAATTGTGAATGTAGTCTTTGACCAAGAGATTCTTTATATGTCACCTCATTGAATTTATTCTGCATATTTCCATTTCTGGTCTTAGGAGTCCTGACAGCAGAACCAGATTCCATGGTCTTTTTTAGTTTAGCAAAACAATCATCACACACTCGATATGGTTTGTTCATGTTTGGAGCCAGAGAAGCCTTCAGAGATTTCTTACTGCTGCATGCCTTGCAAAAGACTAGTCCACAATTATAACAGTTGTGACGTTTTCTTCTGAACCCAAAAAGATTGCGACAGCCAGAGCACATAGAATGATCAGCACTAGGCACCCATTTGTGAAGACATATAATAGCAGTAAAGTTTGAACCACATACTACACTCTTCACTTGCTTATCTTTTAGAGAATCAACAAGAGTAGGCGTATTTCTGTCATCAATGTCACCATGGCCTAATTGCCCATTAGCACCCTTTCCCCAAGTATAAACCTCTGTTTTGGAAGTCAAAGCTGCAACGTGATAAGAACCACAAGCAATCTCTTCAACAAAGTCATCTACTATTTTACCTTCAACAGGAGCTGGAAGCTTTCCGTTAGCTGTTGGACTCCCCAGCTGTCCATAAGCAGTACTCCCCATTGTATATACCTGCCCCGAGGTAGTAAGAGCTACTGTGAGATTATGTCCACAGGCAACCTTACAGATATTCTTGTCAACCAGAGCACCCACACATTCAGGGAAAAGTCTAGGTTCTTTATCACCATGTCCAAGTCTGCCTTTATCTCCATCACCCCAAGTGAAAAGCTGTCCAGACAAAGAGCTACTGGAAGTTTTGGAATTAGATGACTCACTCACAACTTCAACAACTGCAGTGGTATGCCAAACACCACAGGCAACCTTTGTTGTTCGCAATCCTCTCAGAGCCTCCACTTCCCGTGGTATACAAGTGCTGCTATGATCTCCATGGCCCAGGACACCAAAAGATCCATCTCCAAATGTAAATAACTGTCCAGAAGAAGTCACAGCAGCTGTATGCCAGGGTCCACAAGAGATAAATGAGACACGTAGGCCCTCCATATGACCACAGACTTTTTTGGGGATCCAGTGACTGACTTCACTACCATGCCCAAGCATACCAGAGTTATGAGTACCATCACCCCATGTATAGAGATCCCCAGAAACTGTAACAGCACAAGTATGATACTCTCCACATGCTACCGATTCAATGTTCATGCCACTGAGTGTATCTATGAGCTTTGGCTGAGGAATATCTGCTTCTATGCCATGCCCAAGCCTGCCTCCTGATTCCTCCCCCCAACTGAAGATCTCTCCTTGTTTGGTGACTAACACAGCATGCCTGCCACCACAAGCAACGTTATGTACATCTAGGACCACTGCTGATTCCAATGTCTTAGGTAGAAGTGCATCAATCTTTGAATTAGATGAATGGTTAATTTTATTTGCACCACCACCCAATATTCCATCACCAACATGTTCTCCCCAAATGAAAACATCACCTAAGGAATCAAAGTCATCATGACAAGAGCCATGACTGGATGAACTTACAGCACTGGACAAACTCACTCGAACTGTTTCAGACCCAGAATTTCGACCATTTGAGCTTTCTACACACCCAACTGATAACGAGTGAGGAGAACCAGAAATTAGCTCTGGTTGATTTCCGCCCTTGAATGATGAAGTATATGTTATTATGTTTGAGAATGCCTTTCCTAATCTAGTCCGTGTGTCACAAGGCACTTGAGCTCCCTGAACATCTTCTATATCCTGTATAATATGAAAGAATTAATACAAATTACCAAAGTCAGCATGACATGAGCATCACCTAAGGAATCAAAGTCATCATGACAAGAGGGATGACTCGATGAACTTACAGTACTGGACAAACTGACTCGAATGGTTTCAGACCCTGAATTTTGACTGTTTGAGCTTTCTCCACACCCAACTGATAATGAGCGAGGAGAACCAGAAACTATCTCTGATTGATTTCTGCCCTTGAATGCTGCAGTATATGTTATTATGTTTGAGAATGCCCTTCCCAATCTAGTCTGTGTCTCACAAGGCACTTGAGTTCCCTGAACATCTCCTATATCCTGCATAATGTGAAAGAATTAAGACAAAATACATGTGGTCAGAGGTCTTCAAGTCATTTATAAGATCAGAGATACATAAAGACTTTGCTACAGACAAATGGTAATATCGATGGAAAATATTTTTGGTTACAAGAAGGTGGAGTATCTAACAGTACACTGTCACTTCTTGTTTCTGTTCCCCACTTGCGGTAGTTGCCATGAGAAATCAACGCCTTAAGACCAACAAACCAAACTTCAGCTTCATCCTTGTCTTTACAAATCTGTCCATAGGAGAATGATACATTAAACCAAGATATTTTTGCACTTTATGGTTGTGAAAAATTTTCAGTATGTATATATATATATATTTTTGCAAAAGTGAACCTAGAGCAACTAATGTTCATTATATTTTATTAGCAATAATATATTAAACATGTCTTTGAAAGAACATCTGCAAAGTATGCACTTACCAAGTCCAAAGACCTGTCACTGTATATAAGTGAAAATGATTGATACTCCTTTTCAGGTCTAGGATGCCGCTGAAATATTGCCTGCAAGGCAAATTGACCATTATGTTTATGGACTTTTTGGAAATCAAAATAATATGCAAACAGTACTAACTTACAGTACGCTGTCCTGGAATGATCCTTGAAACTTGACTAAGATTAATGTGCTTCTCTTCTTTTCCAGAGTACCAAATCAGCGTAGACTCATCCTGAAACAGAATCATGAAATTAAACAGAATGGAAAATGAAAGATTTTTAATTCTGATTACAATAAATGGAAGGTAGAAAAAACCCAGGGACCCATAGCCTTTTTGAGCTCAAACAGGAGAAGAGATGAATAGTAAATACATTTTCCAGCAACGTTTCAAATTTCCTTATGCCTGACAAAAACCAAATACTCTGAAGTCCTAACTTTCACTGAGAACGTAAATAAAATAATTAGTGTCATCAAAATGGTTTTTGCTCATAAATCAGAAGAAACATTTTCACTGGACAAAACCAAAAATTAATAAAACCAAATACCATTTTTTGTTTGTTAAATGCGGCCTAGTTATGGTAGTATTTCATGTCATTAGTCCTCAATTTGTTCCAATGTTATAGTTTCCTAGTCAAAGTCTTATAAAAAAAATAAAAAATAAAAAAAAAAAAGAAAGAAAGAAAAAAAAGATTGGTGATAGAATAATCAGTTTCTTGTCACAGTCTATTATTATTTATTATAATTTTTACTCAACAAAGATGACTGTAAGATGCCATCCTTCAATCAGCAAGACATGTGAAGGTAACTTACATTTGAGAGATGGAACGGGCAGAACTTTGGCTTCCCCCTACGTCCGTACTTTAGCAAGTATGCTCCTTTCTTCAGTGCTGTAATTGCCTGTAATTACATAAGAGCATTTACATAATTAGACCGTAATATAGCTTCACTTCACAAGGCAAAAGAATTTACATAAGAGCATTTACATGATAAGACCATAATATCGCTTCACTTCACAGGCCAAAAGTATTTACATAAGGGCATAATTCTGTAGTATGAACATTTTCTCAGGCCATAGCATTTATCAAAAATGATGACCTGCACTCCCATCATTTGGAGCTAAACAATCATAAAATGTAATTTCAATACCGACACGCTTGATTTATAACTGTCTGCTGCTGCAAAACATGCTCTTAACATGTTTCGTCAGCAATATGGGAAACAAAATTGCATACATGACATGGAAATCTAAAATAAGAGAATGAAACCTGATCGATATCCCTCTCGGCAGGACCACCTCTCTGAGAATCAGCCATTCAAGGTGCCAACAAGGTGTAGGACCAACACCCATTTGACCACCAACCAAACCTATTTATTTCCCAACTTCGCCTCATAGAAATAATACAGCACTTTACAGAGTTGCCATGCTATAATCCGAAACAAAAACTCTAAACTCCTTCATCTAACCCATACGAATACCAGAACGAGGATCGAAATTCACAACGTAGCTCTTATGCTCCCAAAAATCAACAATGCCACAAAAACAGTGTCTCCACCGATTAGAATTCCAGCTCGGAAACAGCTCAATTCACTTCATTAAAGAAAAACAAAACCCTAGAATTCCATACATTTGTCGGAACAAAAAATAGGAATGTCAACAAAAAAGCGGCGTTTTGAATCACCAACAAGACTTGGAATCGAGAATGGCGGATGAATCTACCTTGAGGAAGAGGAATTTGAAGAAACAGAGGCGGAATTCAAGCGTTACGGCGGCCATTGAGCTGGCCGGAGATTTGGAGGAGTGTGGAAAACTGGAAATTGTTCAACGGATCTTCGAAAGCGAGAGAGAATGAGATATTCTGCAGGTTTTTGGCAGGATTTGATAGTTGCGCTTCCCCCTTAACGTGCGCCTGATGCTGATTGTCATTTTCTTTTTATTTATTTGTTTAATTTAATAAAAAAAAATCTTTTGATTTTGGAATATTGGTTCTTGTGCCGTATTGCCACGTCAGCACTAGAAATCTCTCTGACGAGGATTGTTTATTTGTTTTGTTTGTTTTCTGTCTGACATATGCTAAAAAGGACAGTGGTACGTATTTGGCGTTTTCTGGTTGGTTGCTTTATTTTTTAATGTGATCAAAGCTTCTTTTGGTTTTTTTTTTTTTTTTTACATTTGAAAGATGAGTTATTTTTTTAAAACCAAATTATAGTTTTATGAATTTACTCATAATCTTATGGATTTAATGGTTTTGTCACTTGTTATAGATACAACTCCACCCCTTGGATTAGATTCAATTCCTCCTACCCTTAATTTATAATCTGTTTTAAAAAATAATTTTATAAATCTTTATTTTACTTGGTTAAAAATTTAAATTTAAAAATCTTTATGTCAAAATCTCATCCTCTTGAAAATGTGCCATGATAAGATATGAAATTGAGATAACCTTCTTCTAATTAAATTCTTATTACTTATTTTAAGCCTCACACTTAAACTTCTATATAAATTTCTTACCATTTATTTCACCGTTTGAGCTTTATACTTTTAATATATTACCTTCATCCAATTTAATTGTTACACTATTCCTTTAAACGATTATAAAGAAATTTAAAAACACAATGTTTAAGATTTAAAATTAAAGTTAAAATTTATTTATACACAACTCTTACTTACAATTTATTTTTTATAGGATTAGTGCTTTTTTGTTTTACTTCCAAAAAATTAGGAGGAAAAAGGACGAAAAATATTTTAATTCATGTTTTAAAAATATGATATGTTAATTTTTTTTAATAGGTGTTTATTAAAATGATGTAGTTTTAGAATAATATTTCTTTTAATTTTTAAGAGTTAAAGCGGATAAATACTATTTTTTTTATTATAAATATTTGAGATTTATTTATTTATTTTCTTATTTTTAAAAATAATTATTTTTTCTATAAAATTGTAATAAATCTTAATTATTCATCACTTTACTATAACAAATCAAGATTTTATATAAATTATGAGTGAAAAAATTTTGTACAAGTAAATACAAGTTCTTTAAATTCTCTCTTTACTCTAAAGTTGTTTTACTAACCAAAAGATCTTTTTTGAGTTTTTTAATGAGAATTAATGTGGACAAATTGAAACAAAGTTTTTAATATGTGGATAAAAAAATATAGAAATTGTTACAATTAAATTTAGATATCTTTTTTAAGAGTAAATTATTTTCCCATTCTACCAACATAAATTATATATTTTATAATTATTAGTAAAAAAAATATTAATAAATAAAAGATGGTACCTCTCATACTTTTTTATTTTTATAATATTTTAAAAGAATGAAAACTAACAGTTGGACTTCTTAATCAAACGATTATAAATTGAGTTATAAAATATATATTCAAATCTAAAAATTGGGTTCGAATCTTCTCTTCTCGAATGTAAACTCATTTAAAAAATGGTTAAAGTACCATTTTGGTCCCTCAACTTTTTACTTTGACATCAAAATTATCCCTCCACTTTAAAAAGTACTAAAACTATCTTTAAACTGTCATTTTCGGTATCGAAACAGTCCTTCCGTCATTTAAATGCACATGTGGCACTTTAAGTTGCCAACAAACCAATTCTTTTTTTTCTTAACCAATGACATGGCACCTTTTTTTGATGAGTTGGCATTTTATTTAATTTAAAAATAATGATTTTTTTTCCATCCACGTAATCTCTTCTTCTTCTTTCACTTTCTCTCTCCTTTACCTTTCCTTTTCCCTTACCTCTGCGAACCCAAATCTGGGTTCTCTTCTCTTTCAAAGTCTTCATCTTCTTCCTCCTTTCCTCATTTTATTTAATTTAACAATAATGATATGTTTTTTTCCATCCACGTAATCTCTTATTCCTCTTTCACTTTCTCTCTCCTTTACTTTTCCTTTTC